CTAGTTGCTTAATAACCTACAGAAACATAGGGATCTGAACACTTGTTATGTTCCATTCCTGTTTTTCCTTTTATCATTCTACCTGCTTCGGTGGTGATGCTAAATGTCTGAAACAATTTGTGATGCGTAACTGAGGAACGCCGAATGGTTGCTGCGGCTATGCTTGTTCTCCATTCTGAGATTCTCATTACTTCTTACTTTCTTACTGATGGTTTGCAGTTTGCATATCTGGAGATGTGCCCATATATTGCTTGATGATTTTGAGATATCCTGTTTTAATGAATGGATGAAATGAGCAAATAAATCTGTTGCCATATGTCACAGTTGCTGCACGGCCCCCCGCGCCCGCCCTTCCCCGCCGCCGCCGCCCAACTCCTCCACCGGCGGCTGCCGTCCATGCCCAGGCCCGGGTCCACCCCGCCGATCGCGCCCCGCTCCGCCACCGACGGTCGCGCCCACCTCCTTCCCCGATGGCGGTGGCGGCGTGGGAGGACGGGCGTTACTAGCGAGCGGCGGTCCATGGCCGCAGATCGGCGGTGGTGGTGGCGGCGGCGTGGGGAGAGGCCCTCCTACTCGCCGCCGCCTCATCGCCCATCACCGGCCGCCGGACTCCCACCTCCTCCACCGGCCTCCTCCCCCGCCATCAGCCCTGCCCAACTCTCAATTGATGAGAGAAGTGAGAAAAAAAAAGAGGAGAGAGGAAGAGAGGTGGAGAGGTGAGGGGGAAGAAGCTGACATGTGGGACCCACGTGGGTCCCACGCTGAGTCAGCTGCCACGTCGGATAAAACCGGAGTCAAAACTGTCGAGGGACCTAGTTTACACTGGTTTTGTAAGTTGGGGGACGTGTTGTATCTGGTCTTGCGGTTCAAGGACGATTTTGTAACTCAACGACAAGTTGAGGGACCTCCGGTGTACCTTTTTCCAATTCGGATCGTCGTGATTAGTTGCGATTTTGATGGGTCTAAATGGGCTGAGCTGTTTGTTCAAGAACTACACATAAGTGGGCCTAATATTTGTGGGTCAGTGCAAGAAAGTCTAATTTATGTTTTTAAACTGTAAAATCGGGTATAATTCATCCTCCGACTTCTAAAATCTGTGTAAATTAAGTCCATCAGCTGTTTTAATAGCGGTTTTAGCTGGCGTACGTAGCACCAATATGACAAGTTGACTTACTTACGTTGTTCCTATGCAGTGATTATGTGACGCCTACGTGATATCATAGAATCCACATATCAGTGTGCCTCTCTTCTTCCTTCTTTCCCTTCTGGCCACACATCCCCCGTCCACTACCATATCATGAGTCCGCCGCTGGCATCGCCCTATAATGTCGCCACTTGTAGCTATTCGTCTCTTCTTACATTCTCGCTACCTTGACGACCCATAAGACGAGCACCACAGCAGCGCAATAGGTTGTCGTGCCCGAGCGGACGCAGCACGCAATAGTAAACTTATCTTTAGGAGTTAGGACTGGAGTGGAGTTGTAGCACAGTCTAAAATCACCTTCGCCTCTCTAGTTCATTTTATGATAGCGCTTCACCTAGCTCCGCTCTTATTTTAGGTGGAGCTAAAACTGTTTGGTTGAGAACTGTGCCAAACAGACCCTAAGGTTCAAAATTTCGGATTAAAATTTTTTGAAATTACTTTGCCTGATTTTTTTTGGATTTTTTCATTTTCTTTTTTATGAATTGCATGCACGTGTTAGTTAAACACAATTTTTAAAATCATTTTCCCCAAAACTACATACACAGTCTATGATTCTACTAGGGTAACCACAATGTATATAGCAAAAATAGCCCATATAGATGGGACCCATATATGAACTATAATTATTGTTATCTTCACAATGTATATAGATATCAACTAGTATTAGAAGGAGAGAGGAAATAGAGACAAATAACATATCCTATTACTATAAAGATATCTCCCACTAACTACTTAAGCTTAACATGCAAAGATGCCACATCATCATCCACTAATTAACAAGATGCCACATCATCATCCACTAACAATCATCACATTTAAACATGATGCAAACATGCTATATCTTTATAGTTTTTATAATTTAAGAGCTTTTCAAACACAAACATGTTAAATTATCATCCAACATAATTCACATAATACTTCAATGTATATGTTTTATGATATCTTATATACTTATAAAGTTCATCCTCACTTAGTTAGTGCTTAAATGATTAATCTATGGTCCAAATTATCTTTCTCCTTTTCCCTCTAATTAAGTCATATCACATCAATTGTTTTTAGCCTTTAGATGATTAATCTACGGTCCAAATTATCTCCCTACTTTTCTTCTTCTATAAGGTCATACCACCTTACTTTTTACGTTTGAATCACCATTGTACATACTATTTAAATTTAAATTATCATAAACCACATTAATTTACTTAACTGATGTTATCTAGCTATCTTACACATTATTTTTTTTATTGTTATCATACTAAATTCCCGCAGCAATGCGCGGGGTTTCACCTAGTTTTATTCTATATGGGCAGCCCATATGCTTATGGGTGGCTTTCACTATTTTCTTGCTATGGACTTATGGCTGAGTGGAATATTTTATTGCTTATGGACTAGTTTTAGACTACATTGTGGATGCTATATTTGTTGCGATTAAATCTTTACAATGAGATCTTGCTTGATTATATTCATGTGAAAAATAAATATATATTTCAATCACTAAAATTTTATGTTCCACTTTGCTAGAAGCATAGCAAATGTTCCAATTAGAATTGGACTATGTTGCACGTAGTATTATTTAGATGTTCCGTTAGTTACTTTTGTAAATGATGCGTGTCTTATTTATTTAATGTTCCAATAAGTATTTCGCAATGTTTCAATAGTTATAGCTAGATGTTTTTTTATTTAAATATAGTTATGTTAGATTATACTTTGAGCAACTAATATATTGATGCAAACAAATTAAACTACAGTTCTGATAAATAGTTTAGAAGAAATTAAAACATAGTTTGAAGTTTGCTTACTATTTTGTTAATTAGATGGAAGAGAGAAAAAAATTACAGCAATGCATACACTTAGTGCATGTGCATGTTACATGAGAGAAAAATAACAGCCAATACTCAGTGCATGTGCATACTACTATAAAAAAATACTACTCCATCTGTCTCCTAATATAAGAGATTTTGATATTTTACTTATACTGTTTGATCACTCGTCTTATTCAAAAAATTTGTGCAAATATAAAAACCCAAAAGTTATGTTTAAAGTACTTTGGAAAATAAAGTAAGTCACAAATAAAATAAACAATAATTCTAAATTTTTTTTAATAAGACGAATGATCAAACAGTAAGCAAAATGTCAAAATCCAGTATATTAGGGGACGGAGGGACTAGCACGGAGCAGATATATATGATGTCCTATTTTATGCGAGATCGCTAATTAGCGATTGCCCGCGGACGATCTTTTTTTTTCACCATTTTTTTGGCACCATATATTTTTTTCTTTTTATATACCTAAAATTTATACATCTAAAGATTACACACCTAAAACTTATAGGTAAAAAGTTTATATACCCGATTCAAATTCGAATTCGGATTTAAATATTTTTTATATAGCATATTTCTATACATGAAATTTATACGTACGAAGTTTAATGTATATATTTATAAGTGTAAAGTCTATGCATATGAATATATTTTTAAGAGTATTAGATTTTTTCTATTTTGTTTTATTTTTCTCTAACTTGTTTTTTTTAAAAAAAATATGGTGCATTAGAAATGAGAGAAGGGCGTGTTAGCGGAGGGGCGGGGGTGCGTGATTGTTGTGGGCGATCACCCGCCATTAGACCTTCACGATTTTATGTCATTCATCAGCCCTTCGACGTCTAGTCGTCCCCATCAATTGGAAAAAGTACATCAAAGGTCTCTCATCTTCTCATCGTATTACAAAACCGTTACTAACCGCAGAACCAGATATATCTCATCTCTCATTTTACAAAACCGGATAACCATGGGTCCTTAGGCAGTTTTGACTTTTGACCCAGTTTTGTCCTACGTGGCAACTGAGTTATTGTGGGATCCACATGGGCCCGTACGTCAGCCTCTTCTTCCCCTCCCCTCGCTCTTCACCTCTCTTCCTCTCTCCACGGGCGGCAACTGGTGAGAAGAAGTGGGCCGGTAGGCCAGTGCGGCGTGCGCGACCAGCGGGGGAGGAGCTGGGCGCGGTAGGCCGGCTGGTGGGGATGTGGCCGACGGGGCAAGGCAGGAGAGGAGGAGGTCCAACGGTGGCGACAGAGGAGAAAGGGACTCTCCACACCAGCCGCGACTCCAGGTGCGGAAGAGCTACAAGTCACTTCGTTTCACGGCCCTCCCCACACTACCGCCGCCACCACAAGCCACCACCGCCAAACGCCCTGAGCTCCTGCGAACTCACTGGCGATGGCGACTAGCGGCGGAGAGAGGTAGGAGCGGCTGGAGCGAAGAAGGCCCGTGGGTGGTGAAGCGCCGCCACCCTCACCGACGACATGGCGAGTGTGATTCCGGAGAGTGAGATGGGTGCTGGCGATGGCCGACGAGCAGCGATGGTGGTGAGAGAGAGAGAGAAAGAGATGGCACTACACCATGACATAGTGCCTATGGCAGTGCAACTACCCTAGAAAGTTGTTTCTGTGGCAGCTCATCTGCCAGGAAAAAGCATTCCCGGCACTAGTTAACTGCCCTACAAAGTCCTGTAGGGAATGCCTTTTGCCGGCAGGTATCAAATCCCCGGCAGTTATCTGCCGTAGATACTCTAAAGCTTTCACGGCAGATAATATTGTCTCCGGCAGTCATCTGCCCTAATTACTGAATAGCTTTACCGGCAGATATTTGGATGGTCAGCAACTTATCTGCCCTACAAGGTATACATCACCAGCAGATAGCATGACACTAGCATATTTGCATCCAACAGAAAACACGGATTCCATTGTCCACACACAGCAACAAACAATTCAAACATCTTTGATACGATTTCTTCTATCTACAAGTTGAGACCAATTCAAGGCTTCAATTATTTGAATACAATACATCAGTTCACAGTTATTAACACATTCCAAATATATTACAACCAAGTCAATGATACAAGACCATGTTGGTCCATACAAGCAATAGTCATCTTTAGCTATCTCATAATCATTCCAAAGCTCACTGAAAACTTCACAAAATCCAACTAAATTTACAAACGTATTCAGAGATATATGTTTTTAGAATTCATTGTTACAAACATATTCACAGACATATGTCAGAATCATAAATTTTTCATGCTGACAACCAGCTGAAGAGGTGCACAGATCAAGACTTGCAAAAGATGTACTCATCTTCAGAGCAATGTTCAGGCATTTTCCATTCTGGCAGCTACAACAGAACATAAAAAACTCTTTAGCTCCAGGTTCATTTAATAATAAAAAAGCTCCAGGTTATCCCTAACCAGGGCACTCAGGGCTTCTCCTAGCTCGACAAAAGATTAGGCCTGCTATCTAAATTTGAGAAACACATGCAGATAATAACTCATTTTTTGTCACACATACACATAATATCACTGATTTCACTTATATCACTGATGGTTCATAGCTTCTGTTAACATGAAAGAGAAACCATTTTTGTTTCCATGCAGCAACCATGATTAGTGGTAATGACAGTAAATGGATAATAATATGGATTGGTGAAACCCTTTCGAAAAAAACCGTGCCATTTGATTAAATAGACGGTAAAAAAATGGATAGGATGAAAAAAAAAAGTATTTTGTGAAGACATTGAAGGATAGAATGCAGCTGTTCAAGGAAGAAACTTACAGTTGATTTAAAAGCATAAATATGTGCATAGAAGCTATATATTCTATCCGATTAGTTACATGAATAGTTCAAGGAAGGATAACATCATGGTTAATTTTGAGAAAATCATAACTCTATCTTCAGATTTGTGCAGAACCTTGTTGAAATGGGGTCATTAGGGATACATAGCAAACATTCTCTGTTGAAAATCTGATATGATTAAACTGAATATTCAATGTACCAGATTATATTTGTGAATAACTGGAAAAAAAGACTTCAGTATATCTCCATGCACACAAATGCTGTGGGATAAATTCAAGGTCAACAGCAGTCTCTGTATATGACTCAAATAGGGGGATAAAATCAATATTCTCAAAGATATATGGCTGTCCCTAGAGAGCAGTAGAAACCCTGAAAAAAATTGACAGCTCTATCAGTCCTATCAATAGAACAGGTAAAATAATACCTGAGAAGCTATTAGCTAATAGAAAAGAGCCTTCAATAGTAGACTAAACCTTCTAGCTAGTGAGATATCTATCAGTGCATTAAATCAGTAAGAGATAGCATTACAGCTATGTGCACTTTGTCGTAAGATATCTATCAGTACATATCATTCAGTTTCAGGGACATGCTCAAGTTCAGAGAATCATTAAGTACTTGTTTTCAGCAGTAAATTTAGATTTCAGACACTTCCAAAATGATCTGATTTTATTCTTTTACTTAAAAGATTAGGACAAATATGTATTAGGTAAAGATGGTTAGCAAAGAAACCATGAAAGATTTATTAACCAGTTGTTAAAGCTCAACTTCATACAAAATTATAATATAAAAAGCATGAACTTCCATAAATAATCTTCTTTGTACCAAGTAGAAAGCCTGCTAAAAGTTCCAAATTGACTGGTCTCTACCCCCGAGAAAATTAAGCTAGAGTTCTATGGATATTGGATAGCATTTTCACCATTAATATTGTACATGCATGTCCAAATTGACATCTAAGATCATAATTCAGTTAAGAAATATGTACCTCTAGTATTTAGGCATTCATTGAAGGGTCATCGAGGAAGTGTACTAATTTATGAAGTCTCAACCATATCAAAGTAGGATCTGCATTAGAAAGAAAAACCAGATCACATTACTCATTTCCAAGGCTGCATTACGAGAACTCCAAGTTATTTCAAGGCTCCAAGTTATTTATTTGGCTCACTTTTTACCTGAGTTTTGTTTCAGTTCTTTTAGCTTTATTCTTATAGCTAGCAAAGGAAGAGCAGGCCCTCAGGATTCTATTTCAACCAAAATATTTAAGCTCAGCGCATTGTTTCAGCATTTTAAATCAACTGGCCTATGATATAAATTGGTTCTGCAAGCTTAAGAAATATAACAATCGTTAATGCTGACAAGTTGGTTCAACCCATCAATCATTTTACATCAGTAATAACAGCATGGACGAAAACGAGCTAACATAATTCCTGACAGCCTGAACTGCAACATCAAGATTTACATGAAGATATGAACCAAAACAGTGACCTCACTGGCTTGTCGCAATCCCCTCACGCCCAACCGTAAATCAATCGATCCAGAGCAACAAAAACTATAGTTACCTCGTGGGCGAGGTTGGGAGCGGCGAGGGCGCGAGGCCGGCGAGGTGGACGGGGAGGACTGCGTGTGACGGCGACGGCGGTGGCGCCGATATGACCGAGGACGAGCGTATGCCGGGCGATGTGAGGAGGAAGGCGTGCGACGTCAACGCTGATCCGGGTGACGCGGCCTGCGACGGCGAACTTGCGGCGGCATGGACTCGAGCGGGGAGGGGCGGCGCGTCGGTCGGCGGGGACAAGATTAGGGTTAGGGTGAGAGGGTTGCACGATTTCGGGATAAGAAAAGGAAATCACGCGATTGAGATCGGTGGCGGCGAGACGACGGATGCAACAACGGCGGAGCGGCGGCAGTCGAGGGCGGCGGCGACGGCGGTGGCGCCGCGTGAGAGGGAGAGATTAGGGTTGGAGAGGGGGGCGCGATTGGGGAGGGGCGGCGGCGCGTGAGCGATTAGGGGGGGGGGGGGGGGGGGAAGTGCGCAATCGAGGGAGGTGGGACGTGGAAGCGATCTGGACCGTTGGGATTTCACCGAGATGATCCTGACCGTTCTATAAGAAATGAAAGAATGAGTTAATGAGTGATGAGTGAAACTATTTGTTGAATTATAGGGTATAAGATAAGATAAGATAAGATAAGATAAGAAGATTTATGATGATAATTGAACACATGAAACAATCCTATTATACATGCATAAATTCATTCATTCATGACGAATTCGAACACTAACAAAAACACGAAAACTAACCAAATTTCCAACCCAACCCCATCGATACACGACGTGTTCTAATCAGTTTTGGGGATATAATCAAGTCATTGATAAAAAAAATTCACATATCCATCCATGAGGAAAAAAAAATCAAACCACAGATTTGGTATAACCCGAAGAATTTCACCTGAACAAGGGGATTTCCTCGGTGCTTCCTTGATCTCAATGCAGTGGGTTGTGCTGAAGAAGGATAGGCGAAAGAAGAGGAGGCGGCAACGATTGGGAGGAGGTGGGGAGGAGGCCAACGAGCAGGAGAGGCATCGGGGGTGGAGGAGTGAGGAGTCGATGGCGGTGCGTGGAGTCAAGGTGGTGGTGGAGTCGAGGGTTTTGGAGGCAGCGCGGATGGAGTGGAGTGCAACGGCTGAGTGCGGAGGAGTCAACGTCGCAGAGGGGTGGAGCGCGTGGTGCGGCGGCGGTGGCACATAAGGGTGAAGCACTAGAGGAGGCGGCGGAGGAGGTGGGGAAGATGATGGAATCAACTGCAGCGATGGGAAGGCGTTGGGCGGAGGAGGAACCAGCGTGCGGCGGCGTGCAGGTGGAGATGACGCGGATGAGGAATCGGGTGCGGCACGATGGGAGTGGAACCATGTGCTCCGCGGATGTTGGGCCCACGAAAATTTCCATGCCTTGGAGCCTTGCTCGGCCTGCCAATATTTTTGGCCCGCCAATATTTCCTCAAACAGTTCACTGTGAATTTGATTTCCCAGTAACTAAATTCCCGGCAGATAAAGTGATCTCTTAAATTATCTATGGCAGATCAATTGACATGTTATATTTGTCCATTGCCGGCACTTAATTTGTTGTCCTATTTTTTTAATTCCCGGCTGATGAGATGATGTCCAAGATTATTGCCGGCACTTGATATATTCCCGGCAAATAATTCGCTACTAACTTCATTTTATTGCCGGCAGTTAAGTGCCATGAATACTAGGTTATGGTGTAGTGTAGATGTGGCAACGACGACAATAGTGTGGATGGATGCGACGCTCCTCGTCGGGCTCGTGGCACCTGGGTGGTGGCGTGGATGGAAACGGCGCTCCGCGTCGAGCTCAAGGCAGAGAGAGAGGGAAGTGAGGGGAAGAGCGGCGTCGGCGGCGGCATCCCTTCACGCGGAGGCGACAGAGCGAAGGATATGGAAGCTAGGGAGCATGATGACCCGACCGCCGATGTGGAGGCAGCGGATCGGAGAGGATGTGGACAGGGCGAGCGTGAGTCTCCATGGCAGCCGTCGTGCTCCTCCCACGACTAACGCGGCTTAACCCATCTCTTTGCGACGCCAGTCAAGCTCGGTGATGCCGTCGCTCGTCCCCCGCCACCCACCAACTGTGCCTAGCGCACTGGCCTGCCAGCCCAACTCCTCTCCGCCGGTTGCCGCCCGTGGAGAGGGGAGGAGAGAAAGGAAGAGGGGTGGAGAGGGGAGGAGAAGAAGAGGCTGACGTGTGGAGCTCACATGGGTTCCACGCTGACTTAGCTGTCATATAGGATAAAGCCGGTGTCGAAACCGCCCAAGAATTTAAAGTGACTCGGTTTTGGAAAATGAGAGATGAAATAAATCTGGTTTCATGGTTGGGGGATAATTTTATAATCCGATTACAAGATGAGAGACCTTTCATGTACTTTTTCCCGTCAATTAGACTTGAGGCGGGCCGTACTTTGATGGGCCTAACGCTAGCTGAAGAGTCGCTGACAAGAAGACCCGGGCTCCCCGCCGGCCGCCGGTGGATCCACACCTGTAGCGGCTCGCCCCACATCGCGCACAGGATGTGTTCGACGAATTGCCTGACCGGGACAGCGCCTCGCCTATACGCATCGGACCTAGCCTTCCCCCGGCATGTGCACTCCCGCGCCGTGCAGCTCGGGCTTTTGCTACAGCACGTTCGTGCGGAGTGTTCTGCAGCTCTGGTACGCTTGTTCGGGCGGCGCAGGGAGACAGGCGCCACCCTTGGTGATTGTGAGCTCGGTATCTCTCCTCTTCCTCTGTTAGATATGTCTCGTCATTACATGATTCGTCTTGTGCTGATTTCTGTTGGATGTTTATGCTAAACCTGAAAAGTTATACAGAGAGACATGTTGGAATATCACTGAACATAACAACTGGAGATCATTTTTGTTTTACTACCCCAATTTTAAAATGTATAACGCCGTTGACTTTTTCATAACGTTTGACCATTTATCTTATTAAATTATAAATATGTAAAATTATAGGTTAAGATTATATTTTATTTGATAATAAAATAAGTCACAACACAATAAATGATATCTATATAATGTCTTTAAATAATATAAATAGTCAAATGTTATGCGAAAAGTTAACGACATCATACATTTTAAAATGGAGGGAATATGTTGTTGGAGGGCAAGCTCTCCCAGGAATTCTTTGATTCATTCAGATTTCATCATTATAACAAGCAATACAACAACAAGATGACTCAAAGGATGAATTCTTTGCATCTCTCCCATCTCCACAAGTACTACCTTTTGGCTCCATTTGCTTGTCTTCTTTGGCCTAACTGGTTTCCTCCACAGCTGCATAGCTCTGTCAGAAATTAATTTCCTAAGCAGGGTCCTTAGCAAGTAGATTGTACTTTGCATGTTATAGAAAAAAAAAAGAGGTCATTCTACATTAATTGGATGTCACTTGAAGCCGGTTATGTCTCCACAATGCAACATTGTCGCAAGCGTTGGATTATGCGATAAGACATATTGCATAGCCAACTGTTAATGAATGGGTTTGGGCCAATTGTGAAATGCTAATATATAGTCAGCCATTATTTGGAAGGCTTCAAATAAACCTGGTGACTGGTGAGCCGGCCGGCCAGCCAGACAGCTACCCCGCTGTCTTGCAAAATTATGGCTATAGCAGTTCTCCCAAGCATCAGCAATGGCAGCAATGAGCTCTCATCGCCTTCTATTCACACAGCTTCACCTCTGCAACTCGCTGTTGCTCATCCATGTTCACCATGCTACCTCACTCAACTTCAGATTTGACTTCTCCGAGCCTGGTTCCTACTGTACCCCAGGTTCAGATATCGCCTGTGCTGGCGATGCCTACCCCTACGCCCGCACGATCGAGCTGACAAAGACCGACATCAGCGACCGAAACCTCCGCAGCATCGGCCGCGCGTGGTATGCGCGGCCGGTGCAGCTCTGGAACAACACCACTGGTGAGGTGGCCAGCTTCAGGACCACCTTCTCCTTCCAAATCAAGCCGGTCAACCTGGACGTCAGCGCTGACGGTATGGCCTTCTTCCTCGGGCATTACCCGTCAGGCATCCCTCATCGCAGCTATGGCGGAAACCTCGGCCTCTTCAATGGCAGCAGCAACAACAGGAACGCAACGGGCACCGCTAGGATCGTGGCGGTCGAGTTTGACACCTACATGAACAAGGAATGGGAGAAGGATGGCAACCATGTCGGGATCGATGTTAATTCCATCGTCTCCGTCGCGGCGATCTCACCGGACAAGAACTTAACAAGCGGCAACACCATGACTGCCGAGATCAGCTACGACAGCAGTGCAGAGATACTGGCAGTCACCCTCTAGATCAACGGAACCTCCTACCATATCAATGCCAGTGTGGAGATTATGGATACCCCATATCTACATGGCAGTTATATTCTAGCTGGGTACAGGTGTCGCGCCCCTAATCTAGCACCGCCGTACAACGGCACCTGACAGGAGCGTGTCGTGGGAAAAACGGCGCGAACCGCTTCCTACGAAACCGCGATCTCAGTACCAGTCCCAGGACATAGCGCTGGTACCCACGGTGACAAATATGAATCATTGCAATACTTAAAATAAATAGAGGACTTATTTACCTTAACTTAGGTTGCAGCTCAGACAGCCCGAGAATGCAACCGACGACACGGACGAGGCGAACACCAACAGCAGCAGCAGCGGAACCAACGGCCTAACACCCAACACCACAGGCAGCTGCAGGGAACTAGGACGAAACCCTAATCTTTACTTCACTTCAACTTCATCTTCGGAGCTGACTGAACTTTATTTATATAGAGAGCAAAGGTGAGTACTTACGTACTCAGCAAGCTAGGGGAACTTAGGTGGTTAATGCAGGCTTCAAGGGAAGGCTGTTATTTTGCAAACAGTTTTGTTTTCAAGTTTTCAACAATCTAAGTGTGTGCTTTCTACAACCAGAGCGAGACAAGTCTCAGCTCGGTCGGGAGGTGAGAAGTAACAAATTTATTTATCAAGATTTGCACAACTCCTAGAGTTGGCTTCAAATCTGGTTTTTCCCAAACCAAACCAATTTTCCAAACTTCCCGATAATAGTGGTCCCCAAACGACCAATCACTTCCAGGGACACCCGGTCCCGCTATCCCCCGGACAGCTAAATGCTTCCCATGCATTAGGTTTCCCAAACCTTAACACCTTTTCATAAAACAGGGTAAAACAAAAACTACGCTAAGGAATCACCTCACATCCGCCCATGACCGTGGGCACGGCTGTTCGAACAGTTTGTTAACTTCTGCAGAGGGGGTACACTTTACCCACACGACATTACTAACCCGAATCACCCAGCCCGTGTAGAACGGCCACGTCTGGTGACCTAAGGGCTTTCATGACAAGGCATTTCGAAAGCCGACACAGGTTTACCATATGCCGACGAGAGGGGTCCCAGACCAACAACAGGTTAGGTCCCAGACCATACTGTGCCAGGAAGCCCAGGGGTCCTCCCCGACACCACCCCGGCGAATCCACATGTCTCCCCCGATTAGCAATTTACTCAGCCAGGGGTGTCCCATTCCACCCGTGTGGTCGCACTATTGTATGCTCAGATGTAATTCCAAAGGAATCGGTCCTTAGATGCGACCGCACAAGTATTCCGCCCAGGAATGGCCTTGTGTCGCGAGTTTTATTTTTTTAAAACTCATTTTCTTTCACAAGGCACCGACCCAGGCGTCGGGTTTTCCAAAGCTTTTGTAAACTAAGTTTTACCCAAGAAGTTACTCAGATTTTAAGTTTGAAGGCGACCGTCGATACTCGCACAGAGTGCACGAATATCGAGGCGCAACTAGATGGTTACAAGGGAACATGATATAACAATTAACAATGGAAGGATCAGATGCAACAAGTTGGGTAGGCCCACCGGTCTGCCTTTCAGACGGGGCAAACAAATTAAGTGTAATCCTATCAATGCATAATATTTTGCAAGCAATATAATTAAGTTCAAATATAGGCACAATATGTTCAAAGGTGGCTTGCCTTGCTCATGGTCTTCACGAAGCTTCACGAATCTTCAAGATATCCACGATCGACGAAAATCCGGTAACCGCAACTATGTGCAAACAAACAAAAACCTAAACAAGAGACCAAGAAAAAGACCCTATTTAGACTAAATAATAGTGCCATTAAATAGATCTCAATTTTATGGAATTACTGGAAGTGGAACGGGGTCAATCGGACGATTGGATCGAGAGATACGAATTTTGGAAGTTTAATTAGAATTTCTGGCATAGGAAGATATTTGTGGAACAAGGGGAGATTGATTCATGATATTTATAGAAATAATATTCTCAAGAATATTATTGACCGTCTGACGTGCGGGACCAAAGGAAATGATTTATAAGGAAAATGATTCATGAAATTTTGGAATAGAGAATTGATTTATGGGATCAAGGGAAAAAGATTTATTAACCCATGAAATAAGATAAAATGATTTACTGAATTTATAGAAGAGAGAAATATTTGTGGAATATTGGAAAGACAATCTCAAGATTATCTTTGACTCATTGACGAGTGGGGCCAATAAGAAGGTAAGAGAGAGAGTGAGGAGCAATTGGAGGGAGCAATTGCGGACTTTTAGCTCTTCGGTGTGTGAGCACCGGACTCGGAAGGGAGTAAAAGTAAACTTCCTTTGTTTTGTTAGGCCGAGGAGGAAGGCTGGCCAATGGGCCAAGCCCACGAGCCAGGGGAGAGAGGGGGAGGGGGACGGCTGACCGGCTGACCGGCTGACCTCTTGACTTTAAGGTTATGAAGGAAAGGATGTACAAGATCTTCTCGAATGCTATCGTCGTCAGCTATTCGCACTTGCTGCCAGTCGTGCCATTCAATGCTTTCAATCCTCCTCCACCGGTATGTAATCAAACATTTCAACCTTTCACAAAATATAGTCTTGTCTTTTTGTTGAATCAATCAACAATGAAGGATATTACGCCCAGGAATTTGCTTTGATGAAGTTGGATCCCCCAGTCGTTCAACGCCGATCACCCCACCACCAAACCGGTCAAGGGAGCGGGGGTCCCAAGATCCGTTCTGAAGCCCGGCCAAATACCTCCAATCCAGCCGGCCAGCCAAATTCACGCAAAAGGAAGTTGGTGTCAAGTGACGACGAAAGTGATACTGCTAGAAAGCCTGGAGACCGAGAGGCAACCAAGAAACTGCCGAAGCAGGCTACTCCAAGGAAAAAAACATCTAGTCGTCCTGTGCCAAAGATCAGGAAGTCTTCCAGGTACAAATCATATAACGGTCTCCCTTGCATTGATGCGCACCCAGTGCGGAAATAATACTGATAACCAAACTTGCAGGAAACCATCTGATATAGATCCTTCTGGAAAAGACTCTGACCCGACCAACATGGGAACGAACTTAAAAGAAACCGAGCCAACTGCTGAGGATCAGCCGAGTGACAACTAGCCAGCAACCGATAATGTAGGATCTGGTGATCAATCCCCGATTGGAAACGAGTCGGCCGAAGCTGGAGCCGAAATTAATCAGGAGCCCCCGACTGAAAACCAGTCGGACACTAGGCCAAGCCAAGAGATTCCAGAAGTTGGAGCTCGGGCAGACAGCCCTCGTAGACAAGATGCCAGCAACGACCCGATGCCAGGGTCCCCCGTTAAGGCGCAAGAGTCGACTCGTCCCCGTCCGGAAATCATCACAGGTAAACACCTTGCCTGAAACCGTGTTGATCCAAATGACTCTGATCAATTGTCTAACCTTTGTCAATGGATACATTAGGACTAATGATTAGTGATGAAGAAGAAATTCCCCGTATACAAGCAGCTGAAGACTCGCGCCCTCCCATCCTAGTCAAGTGGTGGGACAATGATAGGCAACCTCAAGGAATCGTAATAAACAAACAAAAAGAAGATGAGGAAGTATGCTTGCTGAAAAAGGCACTCAGCGAGGCTACTCGCATTGTAAATGTAAGTCCATTAATGCATAGCTTTAATTATCCCCTTTCATGTTTTGCTAAAACGCCAGTAAATTCGTATTGCAGAGAATCCATCTTAGGAATGAGGCGAAGACCGCAACTCTTGAGAAATTAGTTCCTCATCTTGGAACTCTTGAAGCTACTAGAAGCCAGCTACATGAGGTTAGAGAGCTCGCGAGGAAAACTGAGCATGATCTGAGGAATAGAATCTCCGAGCTTCAAGAATCTAATTATGAACTAAGTGGTTCATCCAAAGGTAAATGCCATATCTGTCTGACGTATTCGTGAAGCCTTCCTTGTCATATCGATTAACCGAAAAGCATTACAGTGCAAGCCGCCAGGATTTCTGACCTAGAGAAGCAGGTCGAGGCTCTGGAGAAGGACAAGGCCGAACTAGCAAAGCAGAGGGACTTGGCCTTAAAAGATGTTGAAGGTAATGATAACTGATTCCCCATGTTCTTATAGCCACTTGTTGATACGAATCTATTCGTGCAGATCGCAAAATCAAGTCCCAGGCACAGTTTGATGTCTTAGTCAACAAGATCAATAGGCTTGAAGGGGCCAGGGATAAAGTCGCTAATGCCGCTACCCCACTCATCCAAGCCATGTTCTTCAATAACGCCGGTCCGAGTACACTTGACGCTTCCGAGATCTTCGACAAGCTGAGAGTCGCTCCGGATACTTACTTCAAGAATATCAGGGAGGCTAGAAGTATGGGAGCAAGCATGACATTAGCTATGACCAAATCTTTATACCCCAAAATCGATATTGTCGCCGTTGATGGATTTGCAGACGGGACAAGCGAAGAAACAACCCTCAACCTCATCAATGATGCGCAAAAAGCCGCTGACAAGATTGCTGCTGACGTAGTTGAGAGATTCCAAGATGTCGACCTTCGGCCGACTGGGTCTGATAATTCCGACGATGAAAAAACTGACACTGATTAGTAGCAGTGATTCTGATGATGATGGAAGATCAATTTGTACAATACTGATGAATTTATGATGTGCTAGATATTTCAAACTTAGCCTCTGATTTCTTAAAAGCTTTTGTCAAACCTTATTGAGCCTAAAACTCGCAAAAGTTATTAAAAAACTTTCAGTCCTCATTGTCTAAGCCAAAAAAATCAAGCAGGGCAATGATAAATCAAGTAAGCAAATTGAATTGATAAAAATAATGTTCCATTATTATTATAGTAACCCCCCGACTAAAAACTTCAAGGAAAAACTTGAAGTTAGCAGTCAAAGAGGAAAGATACAAACGAAATGCCTAAGCATAAAATCGACGAAGGTGTTCAATATTCCAAGAATTGTTGACAAGAGTACCATCTTCACGCTTGAGTCGGTAAGAACCTGGCCGAGTGACTTCA